CACATTTCTAAAGTTCTAGAAATAACTAGGGGTAAGGAAGGGGAAAGTAATACAGTTTAGCAAAAGACAGTATTAAGAACCAAGAAAATTTTTGGTAATCAAAATGGTCTAGTATGAGAATTTATAACTCCAGGGGCCCTAAATACACAATCGCCATTTTCCCTCATGATATACTTGCTGATCTTGAGGGCTGCACAAGAGGCTCAAGATTTGGAAGAGGAAGACTGAAACATCCCATTGTCTTGTAATATTTGGAAAAGAATCCCCTCTTGAGGAAAGAAGACTACTCAAACTTCAGTTAGCCTTTTTTTCAAGATACAAATTCCTCTCTAAATCACAAAGAGATAATGAAAAGACAGACTAGAGAAAAAGTCCTATGTGTGACATAGTCACATGATCTAACACAGGGTATCTGAAGAAGTAGAGAGGAAAAGGAGGAGGCAAAAAGGACTATTTAAAGAAATAATGCCTGGGAATTCTTCAGAATGGATACGAATCCTTACTCTGTACACGGGTTTAGGATATTCTAGGAAGGAATTATACAAAGGAAATCACACTTAATCAACTAAAACCTTTTTGTTGTTGTTTAGAACGAGTACTCTTAAAAGCCTAAAATAAATTGTCCTATTCTCATAAGGGAAACAACATTTGATGGCTAAACAAAAATGATGGCTGGGGGCCAGCAGATGGCATGGTGGTTAAGGGCACTGGACTTCCATATGGACAAGAGCAGTTCAAGTCCTGGACCTTGTGGCTCTCTCTCTCTCTCTCTCTCTCTTGTCTTTCTCTCTGTTTCTGGTCAAATTGAAAAATAGTGATAGTAAATAAATAATTAAAAAAAAAAGGATGGCGAACTATGGCGGACTTCTCAATTCAATCAATTAAAAAAAAAAAAAAAAGAATGCCACTCTTTAAAGGAAAAAAAGCCCTGCATAGACAAACTGAACAATGCCTACCAAGATAGAATACCATACTCAGAAAAAATATCCTTTCAAAGTAAAAGTGAAATGGGCCAGCCAGTAGCACACTGGTTAAGGTGACTGGATTACACATAGCTGACTGCAGATTCAAGTCCAGGAATTTCTCTTTCCCCGCTTCTCTCTGGCAAGCATACATGTCCTCCAAAAAATTGAAAAAATAAATAAATAAAAAGGTGAAATAAAGGTGTTTTAAGAAAAATATAGGTTGACTGAACTTACCGGCAGTAGACTAGCATTAGTATTTTTTTTTAAGATCTATTTTTCATTTAAATGTACTTATGTATTTATTTATTTTTAATTTGACCAGAGAGGGACAGATGAGAGAGAGAAAGATAAAGTAAGAAAGCAAACCACCAGGTCCAGGACTTGAACCGTGGTTAGCCATGAGAGAGTCCAGCATCCCTAACCACCACGCCATCTGCCAGCCCACTGAAGTGATTTTATTTATTTTTTTTAAAAGATTTCTTTCTTTCTTTCTTTCTTTCTTTCTTTCTTTCTTTCTTTCTTTCTTTCTTTCTTTCTTTCATTATTTCACATGAATATTGCCAGAGAAGAAGAGAAAGAGAGAGAATGAGAAAGCAAGCTGACAGGTCCAGGACTCGAACCACAGTAAGCCATGTGGGAATTCCAGCGCCTAAACCAATATACCACCTGCTGGTCCCCATTAAAGCAATTTCTTTAGGCTGAAAAAAATTGGGGTACCAGCAGTTGGTGTAATGGCTATGTCACTGAACTCCCGTGTAGTTGACCATGGTTCAAGTCCCAGACTCTGTGGCTTAAACTCACACGGGCTGCGTGTGCATGCATGCCCAAGATCCTGAGAGGAGAATGGAGGAGAAGGAATTGTGGTGTGGCCATTCCCCCTGGGGGGGTTATTTCTCACTTTCTGTCTCTCTGTTTCTCTCTGTCTTTCTGGTGAGTACACATGCCATATAGCAAAAACCTCTCTAAAAAAAAATTTTTTTTTAAAATGAAAGCATGGAAGTATAAGAAAGAATGAAGAACACTAGGGGGTAACCATTTAGGACAACAGTCCTAACAAGGCCTATGCCTATGCTAAATACAGTGCATCTAAAAGTAAATTACGGCACAATAGCCAAAGGGGGAAAAAAAGGGAATACATTGGAGAAGTGTTTGAAAAATTAATGACAAAAAAATTATGAAAAAAAGTGTGCACTGATTGCAAAACTGTTTGCACCAAAATAAACTCATACTTTGAATTCATTTTTTCACCAACTTTATACAGTCTCCTTGTAGAGTATTTGAGGAATCTTAAATGTAAACAAGAACCAACTTAAAATAGTTTCTATTAAGAACGCTTTTGGTAATTTCTATTGAAAATGAATTATATTAAGAATGAAGTAATTATATTATGAGATGAAACAAAAATGTTAAGAGAAGTGGAAATAAAAAATAAAAATTATTAATATAAAAGAAAGAGTTAAAGAAAAACTAGGACAAATAAACGAATGGCAAACAAGGAAGATAATAAAAGTCAAATCTCAGATTAGACAATTTCACAATACACATATTTGATAAAGGACTAATATTCACAAGTATCTGAATAATTATTAAAATATATACTAAGAAGAAAAATGTTCAAAGACTTGAACACTTTACAACAGAGGATACCAACTTTCCAATAAGCATATGAAAAACAGCTTAGTTTTGTAATATATCATGAAAAAGCCAATTAAAATCACAGTATAATACAACCATACACTTACAGAATGTTTAAAATAGCTGACAAAAATCAGATGCTGGCAAGGTTGTGGGAGAATTCTCATACATTATGAAGATGAGAGGTTGACAAGACAGATGAGTAAATAAGACCTGGGATCTAGATTAGAGAGTATTGAATATCTGGATATTTATTATTACATTCCATAGCTACTCATAAATGATTTTTTAAAAGTTTCCTATTGGGCACATGCATTTGCCAGAAATCGAGAGAGGAGTAGGAAGGTGAGAAAGCACTCCCCCCCCCCATTGGGGGAATGACACGCTGAAATCCCATCTCCTCCATTGTCCCCTGGGGATTTTGGGCACCCACGCATACATGCCCAGTGTGTTTTTCAAGCTTCTAGATCCAGGACTCAAACCATACAGTTGGCCATGTGAGATCCAGCCACCTTAAGCACCATGCCACCTGACTGGCCCACACAGAAATAATTTTAAGAGTAATTTGCTCTTAAATCTCTGACTTATATATAATGCAAGTTTGAGGTTTTTATAAAAAAAAAAAAAACATTATTTCTATCATGAGACAGCATATGCAAGGCAGAGGGGAAGAGAGAAAGAGAGACAGACACCCTCAAGAGTCTCCTCATGCCATGATCCCCTTCCTCTATCCTCCTAGCTAATTAGGATCCCCTTCCTCCAGCCCGCTAGCTAATGAGGATCTTGGGTGCACATATAACCAGCACATTTCAGGATCCTAACCTGCAGTAGGCCATGTGGCTTCTAGCACTGCAAATCAGTATGCTACCGCCTACACCCCCAAGTCAGGGTTCGATAGTGCCTATTACATCCCGTTTCTTTAGAGTAGAATGTCATTTAAACCCTCAACAAATCTGAGTTCAGTTCTAAATTACAGTGCTTCATAATTACATGATTTTGAAGAAGTTATTTGGTTCCTCTTAAATTTTAGCAAACCTTAACCTTCATAGCAATTGACACACACACATAAGTATTTATGTCTACCTGGTTATTAGAGCTAAGATTCTCTTTGGATAGGCTACAAAGATACTAACAAAACCCTGTGTTTAAACTCTGGATCACTTACAAGATTGAATTGCAATTTTTGTTGGCATGACTACCTCCCTTCCTAGACACCAAACTTCTGAAGGCAGAAACTACTTTTCTCCATCTCAATACCCTTGGAACTAAAGCAGTATTTGTACATTATGAACCCTTCTAAGTATCTATTGAATGACTGAGTGAAGGGCTTTGCTCAGGTTATAGTTTGTGAAAGCTCATAATTATGCATGGCAAATTCCTGCTATAATTTTATGGTTTGTTGATGAAAATAGATAGAATTTGCTACACCCCCAAGTCAGGGTTCGATAGTGCCTATTACATCCCGTTTCTTTAGAGTAGAATGTCATTTAAACCCTCAACAAATCTGAGTTCAGTTCTAAATTACAGTGCTTCATAATTACATGATTTTGAAGAAGTTATTTGGTTCCTCTTAAATTTTAGCAAACACCTTAACCTTCATAGCAATTGACACACACATAAGTATTTATGTCTACCTGGTTATTAGAGCTAAGATTCTCTTTGGATAGGCTACAAAGATACTAACAAAACCCTGTGTTTAAACTCTGGATCACTTACAAGATTGAATTGCAATTTTTGTTGGCATGACTACCTCCCTTCCTAGACACCAAACTTCTGAAGGCAGAAACTACTTTTCTCCATCTCAATACCCTTGGAACTAAAGCAGTATTTGTACATTATGAACCCTTCTAAGTATCTATTGAATGACTGAATGAAGGGCTTTGCTCAGGTTATAGTTTGTGAAAGCTCATAATTATGCATGGCAAATTCCTGCTATAATTTTATGGTTTGTTGATGAAAATAGATAGAATTTGCCCTTCGCTATTCATTTATTCATCTTTCAGATGTCTATAAAACCTGTCTGTGTGCCTCTACTGTGCTAGCTGGTAAGGATAATAAAAATGAGCAGAATGTAGCTCCTACCTTCAAGGATGTCAAGAATAGTTCCATTCTGGAGCTTGGATAATCCTTTTAGCATAGTGCCTTATAGAAACATACCTGATTTCTTGAATGATATAAATAGAAATAACCTAATCATGTTAAACCTCAACAGAGCAAACCTATGCCTGATATGTGCTTCTTAGTGAGAATAAAACCTATTTATCACTAGAAGTGGCAATACCCATTCTACTTATGTAAGAGTACTCTCTAAGAAATTATAGACACTATCCCCATGACACAGTTTATTTAAATCAGAGGTTTAGCCTTACCCACATTAAATGAAACAATAAATCTGCTTACTATTGCAGGTCTTGTTGTATTTGCTGTTCTCCTGTGCAAACCCTTCCAGCCGGCACTGAAAACGATGCTGCCAAAATTCTTGAAACCAAGGGTTTCGGAGGTTTGTTTCTGGCCGGAGCTTCAGATAATAATCATCAAACCACTTGACATCAGGAGATTGAAGCTTAATTGTGATTCCACCAACAGCTTCTCGCTGATACCCATCTGTCACGTCATACCTGTCAGCCCAGCCATCACTGCGGGAAAACAAAAAAATACTCAGCTTATAATAAGCATCTTCTGAGCAAATAAGTCCATTTGAGAAGATTAATCATCCAATGACTACTTCGGTCTACAGGATTGTCCTGCATTACATCTAGGCAATTACTGAGGGAGCAGCCTGTTAGATTTAGAAAGTATAACACCACCATGGAAACCTGGGCCCTAAGTGCCAGAAGGCACTAGCTCACCTACCTTGAACTGCAGACAATAACCAAGTTCCTTTGGCAGAATTTTCCTGGTTGCAAAATATTATATATGCATGCAAGCTTCAGAGTATCATCATTTACACTATTGACTGGACATGGAATAGCTAGGTTCGAGGTGATTTTTTCATACATTATATTCTTTTACTTTATAATAGTCATTATAATGATTATAACATAAGAATGAAAATGCATTTATAATATTCATGTTTTGTTTATATTTTTACAAGTGAATTATAGAAAGTTTTTTGTTTGTTTGTTTGCTTTTTAGAGGTTTTCGCTATAGGGCACGTGCACTCGCCAGACAGACAGAGACAGAGAGACAGAAAGCGAGAAATCACCTCCCAGGGGGGATGACCACACCACAATCCCTTCTCCTCCATTTTCCCCTTGGGATCTTAGGCATGCACGCACACGCACCTGGCGTGAGTTTTAAGTCACCGGGTCCAGGACTCGAACCACAGTCGACTACGTGAGAGTCCAGCGATATAGCCATTACGTAACTGCTGGTCCCATAGAAGGATTTAAAAAAAAAAAAAAAAAAAACAAAAAAAAAAACCAACTTGCCATTCAAGATTATTAAGTGTTATAATATATTTTTTGACATATAAAAAATTTCAATATTTTATTTTTGTGTGTTTTTATCATAGGCTGGTTCAAAAATTGCCATTACTTCTTTTTCTTTTTTTTTGAGTAAATCCTAAGTATTTTTTTTTTGTATTTTTAATTTTTATTTTATTTTTTAAAATTCCCTGCCTTATAGGAATTTTGTTTTGAACAAGTCAAATCCTAGTTAGAATTTTGTCAAGGATTTTCACTATGGTTGGTTCTGTATCTCATCCCAGACCACTGAATTAGGGTGGGGCTTGGAATATGTATTTTTTTCCTTTTATTTTTTTTCAATTTCATTTTCTTTCATATATTCAATCACATTATTATTTGTCTTACAAAATGGATATTTCAACAGGTGAACATTTCTCCCTAGTACTGTTGATAAAACTACAATATATCTTCAATAGATAATACCACACCTCTTTTGTCAGAGCCTCCAGTTGAAATCTTGGTAGTCTATAGTCCATATATTCTTTTTTTTTGATTTCTCCCTAGTACTGTTGATAAAACTACAATATATCTTCAATAGATAATACCACACCTCTTTTGTCAGAGCCTCCAGTTGAAATCTTGGTAGTCTATAGTCCATATATTCTTTTTTTTTCTTTTTTTTTGAAGAGATTTTTTTTTCGCTATAGGGCGCGTGCACTCGCCAGACAGACAGAGAGAGACATAGAGACAGAAAGCGAGAAATCACCCCCTGGGGGGGATGGTCACTTCGCAATCCCTTCTCCTCCATTCTCCTCTCAGGATCTTGGGCATGCACGCACACACGCCCGGCGTGAGTTTTAAGCCACTGGGTCCAGGACGCGAACCACGGTCGACTATGTGGGAGTCCAGCGACATAGCCATTACGCTAACTGCTGGTTCCCTATAGTCCATATATTCTTTCCTATCCCAAGGGATGTCTTAAGTATGTATATATTTATAGACATACATTCACACACATACACACATACACACACGCATAAACACAGACATACATACATATACACACACACACGCATTTGAAATTATGTTTCAGAGTAAAAAGTACCGACAAAAGGCCATCAAGTATGGTGACAGGATCAAAGCCTTCATAATCACTATCATTGTATTCACTGACCCCTCAGAGTAATATGACAATTTAAACGAGAGAAATAGATTGAAATAAGACAGTTCATGTTATAATGCTATATAAGAGTATAATGGAATTAAGAAAAAGTGGTCTAAGCTTATTGGAAAATACATGTGAGACAATGCTAGAAATAAAAGACATGAAAAGATGTTGACCTCAATGTGGGTAGGGTGTCTGGATGAAAAGACACTAACTTTTTGACCGTTCTGTCAGAACGTACACAGCTTGTGGTGTTTGTTTGCTGGGATGGAGTGGCCCTTCTGAAAATGTGTATGTGTTCTCTAAGGAAAGTATAAAATGTAATTGATAGAAAACTTGCCAATAGAAAAAGTAACACGCAAGAAAGAAGAGAGACATATGGAAAGAGTTGAGGGGGAGAATTTAAGAGAGATTCCTGAATTCAAAGCAGTAAAGTGTTTGGAGTCAGCTGGGAGTTGGAGACAGTGGGCATTGGGGAAAGGTGAGAGAAGAGATTTGTATTATCAATCACTGTGTAGTTCACTGATATACAGCTCTATTTATCTGACTGTGGATTGGTTTGTATCTTCCTTTGAACTCATTTTTGTCCTTAATTATATAAATGCTTTCCTGGGCAGAGAGCATGATGCAATGATTTGCATATAAAACCATTGCTGGGGAAGTATTATGTGAGATTGTTTTGTTTTGTTTTCAGTATGTTCTGCTGCATCAACTCTTACTTAAAAAGTGATCACTGTGATTTGTTCCAAAGGTTGTACACATTCAGATATCCAGGGGCTGGAGGTGACTTGAGTTATTTCCTAAGGCATCAGTGGGTAGAAGAGAAAGAAAAAAAAAAAACAACAAAAGGAATCCTTTTCCCTTTAAATTCTCCTTGATGAGAAGGTCTTTCATTAAACATTATCTATGGGAAAACTTCAAAAAGTTTCCTGCAGATCAGGAAAAAAAGAAAAGAAAAGTAATGCAATCTGTTTTGTCCTAGTGTTGAATTTGGTTACTTCACACATTATCTTCTCTTAAGTTTCTCATTTTCAGCTCCAAAAGATTTTATTTAAAGCTGACAAGTTGAAATGAAGTGGGCTTGTTTGCCTCATTTTCTCACTGTGTTTTGGAGGGTTTATTATATCACTGATATGAGAGTGTGGGTCTCATTGGCACTCGAGGAGATGCAGGGGCGTGCTGCAAATGGGACAGGAAGCTCTGTTTGTCAAGAAGAGGCCTATTCTCCAAGGAAGTAGGAATTTAAATTGCTCCTTTTGTTAACATTAGCTTGCTCTTACATAATGCTATGATTATGAATATTACATTACATAAGAAATGCAAGATTATAATGGGTCCAATTTTCCCTTCACAATTCATTCATTGAATTTCATGGTGATTGTAAAAAGCTTGTCTTAAACTTTTTTGCAAATAATATTTCCCTAAAATAAGTGTCAGGACCAGAGAGTGTTAATTTACTCATCTCTCATGTGATTTCTCAATCTTTTTTTTTTCAACTGTAAATCTACTTTGTATGTTTAAGAATTTAGAATAAGATGATGTTTTAATGGTAGCCTCATAAGTTGGGGTTGTCAGTTTAAAATAATCTTTTAAAAGATGTTTCTAATCAAGAGAAAAATAAAAATCATAAGGAGTTAGTGTGGAAAAATCTCAGTATCTCTGTAACAAAACAGGTCATTCTACTTAAACTATCTGGAGTCTTCTGTACAAGTCTCAAGAAACATCACTAAATGCTGGCTGTTAGAGGGTGTTTTTTTGAATTCAGGTTATTAAATATTAACATTTTCATAAAAATATGCTTTTAAGATTTACATAAAGATAGTAGGACATCTCTAATTATTAATAAATTCAAAAATAAAAGAAACGCCAGGAAAACTTGATCTTACTATCTAATGTTTTTTGTTACTTCGATAGAGTCTAGCACAACTTTAATGCTTTGGATAACATGTTTTACCAAAGCAATGGGAAAATGCAGAAAAACAGAAAGAAATGAATGTTTGTGGAGAAATCTACCATATTTAAGGTGTTTTCTAGATTATTGTCTATGTGTATCCATCCATCATCCATTCAATTTCTTTCTTCTCATTTGCTCTTCATCTCCAACTCTTCATAATTTACTTCATTCTAATCTTTCTAATTTTTGATATGTAGTGGATAATCCTTATTTATGAATCTTGTGTTTGCCAATTCAACTATTTGCTGAAATTTATTTGCAACATCAGAATTTGCACCAACTGGTGGCATTTTGTGGTCATTCATAGATATACAGAGTCTCCTGAAGTGCATGTTCTTATTCAAGGTTGAACAAAGTGATCCTTTGCCTTCTGTTTCAGTTCTCATGTGACTGACAAACATTCTTTTCATGGTTTATGTGAGACCAAGATTTTCAGATTTTTGAGTTTTTCTTCTTTGGTGATTTTTCCATTTAACATGGCCCCTAAGAGTAGTGGTAATGTGTTATCTAGTGCTATTAAGCACGAGAAGGCTGGGATATACACAGAAAATATCTATGTTGAATAAACCACTTTCAAGCAGGAATAAAGTACTGTTTTCTGCATGTCTGATGTTAATGAATTGACAACATATATTAAATAAGGTGTTTCAGGCAGGAATACACAAAGAACAAGGTTATGTATTTAATAGTCGATGAAGATGTTACCAGAGGCTCACAGCCACCTAAACTTTTAATTCTTCCACAATAGTCAGAACTCCATAATTTAGAGTCTGCTACATATTTGCAGAATGTTATTGTGAATAACAAGATTTGGTTACTATTACATGTAGCCTTAGACTATCAGTGTTTCTCTAGTAGACTTCTAGTCTTTTGGACTATAGAAAAAAGTAACTTGTACACATAAAACTGCAAATACACTATTAACTTACTTAGCCTGGTTTAACTAAGGAGGAATTTTATAAATATATGGGAATTCTCATAACACTTCCCCACTAGATACTTTGATTTCTTCAAACCTTCCCTGTAGACATTTTAGGACATAATTCATGCAGTAAAAATTTACTTGCATTTTCTTTCCAAGATTGCATTATCAAACATATCTCTTTCTGC